ACAACGCGTATACGAGTAGTATCGGGAGACGAAATTAGTACGAATTGGGGAGTTATTATTCGCTATGTGTAATCACCTTCTTAAGCTACCATACGTGTAGTCCAGCACTGCATGTAGCTGACTCTGACAATGAACAGTGACCAACGGACGATTTCTGTAAAACCATTTCTGGTTTGCCTAAATAGCTTGAAAAGATCAACTTCGGTTGACCTGCACTTTACGCAAGACCAGCGAAGGCCCTTGCCATCATTAATAGCGTCCAGAATTCTTCCCGTCAAACCAGCACATTTCAGATGGTAAATACCATCACACAGCCAGCACGATAAGTAGCGTTCAGAATCGCTTTTAATTTGGCAAGTATTAAGATCGCACTTCATATTGAAAGATTTCTGTAATAACACTCGTTAATAAAAAGACAAACAAAATAAATTATAACAGTTAAGGAGCTGATGTAAATAGCTTTAAATAAATGTAGCAATAACTTTCACTTAGCTTCAATTATTTCACACTAAGATGCTCATAGGCACTTTTTATCACTACTTTAACTCAGAATTAGCACAATAAACTTAGCAAATAGAAACCCAAAATCAGAGCACAATATAAGTACAACCTCACAGCTTTACATTTGCAAAGAAAAATGTGTACACGTCTTTTAATGTTATAAGGAATTATTAGATAAAAATTGTAGGAAATTTTGTGGGGAAACATTTTCAAACATGTAGGAAAAAGTGGAAAAGTGGGGATTTTATTTTTGTTGAGTGGGGATTTTCCAAAAAAGTATGTACCACCACTGCACCACTGTTAGTCATCGAAAGTAGAAAACCATAGAGTTGGCATTCTTGATACCGCAGAAAATCTAATTTATTAAAATACCATTAAGATGGTGTGTACAATTCATCGGCGCCGGCTTTTGCCTTTTTTATTTTATTTTTACATGAATCGCGTTTAATTCGCCACACGGCTTCTGTGGTTCTATTCTGTAACCAGTTAGCAACAAATTTCGGATCGATATCGCAAGTTTGCGACAAGTATTACGATTTTTCTATTCTATAAAGATTTTCTAACGATTTCTATCGCAAAGCTTGCAATTTTGGCCCCTATTATGAGTTGCATTCGATCTTCGACTGCGGTCGAAAGTGCCAGAGAACGTAAATTTATACCTTTTTTATGCCTCTTTTCACTTTCTTTCTTTTTTGGTTTTTTTTCCAAAAAAAATTCTAAGTCGAAAAGATTTAAAAACTTAGTTATTTCCATAAATATCGAACGTTAGGAAAATGTGCTTAAATAGTTTCGGCTTAGTTTAGCACAAAAGATTGTTTCACAGGCTTTGGTTTTTTTTCGAAAAATCCAATACCAGTACAGTTTTTTACTTGGAAATATCACAAAAATTTGAAAATGTTATATAATATTTTCGATTTATTTTAACGTTATTTGTACAAATCACCGAAAAGAAATTATTTTTTCCCCTAAAAATCTATTTACAAAAAAAAATCTAACGCCAATAAAGATTTATAATTGAAAATCTAACAAAATATTACAAAAATCGAAAAAGTGCTATATAACATTTTCGATTTATTTTCACGGTGTTTGTAGAAATCACCGGAAAAGAGGATTTTTTTATAAAAAAATATTTTCACAAAAACACACACTTATGGGAGTTTTCTATTTGCAATCATTAATAGAATATCACAAAAATCAGAAAATGTTATATAATGTTTTCTAATTAATTGCATGTTACTTGTACAAATCAACGAAAAAATTTAATTTTCTTACTAAAACAAATATTTTCACAAAAAATCTAAATATACACACCAACTCTTCAGTTTATTTTCATTTCATTCGGTATCGATTACCGTGGAATGAGCCATGTGATATTTATTTTTGTTCCAGCAAGAAAATATTATTATTATTAATTGCATATTTTTTTGGTTATAACTTCAAATACATGAACGGAATATGAGGGCCGGCAAATAGTTGTTGTTGTGCCACTAATGCCAACGTTTCCTTATTTCACCATGGTGCTCATGTACACGGTGGGCAGGAAGCGAAGATAGGTTGCATAAAAATGTCGACAAAATCTGAAAGCAGGGTTGTATTTGTTGATATCTTAAGGTCAAGAATCCGCTTAAATTAAAATCCTAGCTGCTCCTGTTTTAAAGATATCCACATTTTATATACTTCTGATAGGATATATTTGCAAAAGAGGAAGGCGTACTTCTCGATAATTAGAGCATATTTATACGAAAAGAAATCTCATACAAATCTGTTCCCCTTTTTTAACTCACTAAAACGGATCAAATCAATGTGAAACATTTTCATTTTTTCCTACCGAAAGAATAATTGATCGAGATTTATTGGGCGCTACCGATATATGTAATACTTCTATATTGGTAGTAAGCTCACATCACAATGTGTAAGCATTCCGAAATCAAAGCTAGACAGTCTAGTACTGTTTTTGTCAATGGATTGTGTACTTGAGTGCCGGTTTTGTAAATGTGTCGTGTACATGTTTATTTATAAACGTATGTGTTCCTTTTCTTTCGTACGTGTTTATTGATATATCTGTACTGTAGTGTTTTCGGACGGTACTAGCTCTTACTGCCAATATAGGAGTATTACATATATGGCGCTACCGGTATACAACTTAGATAAAACACCACAATTACCTTTTTCTGTAGCGTGAACTTTCTCATTACAAACACTTTCAATATCGCAATATATGTATGTATGTATACAATATTGTATGCTATATAATACGGTAGTAATTTTTTATTAAAGGTTTGTTGCTATAAGCAAGTAGCGCAGGCAAGTCGCACTGCGCTTGTGCAAGAAATAAAAATGCTCTAACTTAGGCCAACGGTACTCCTCATAATAAGTAAATAAATTCAAAGCTTGTATGAGATTTATTTTGGTATTTATGTACTCTTCTGTCAGGAAATAATGACTATTGTACATCCAGAACACAAATGCGATCATAAAGAAAATCGCATGAAAGTATGCGCTTTGTGTGTAGGGCTGCCAGACGTCCCGGTTTTCCCGGACATGTCCCGGTTTTAGACTATTTGTCCCGGTGTCCCGGTCCAACCTTAAAATGTCCCGGGTTTCATTTAAGTGTCCCGGTTTTCGATTTGATTGCACAAATTTTGCTTAAAAATGACTACGCTGAGAGAAAAAACGCGTTGTAATATTAAGAAAAATTTTATGAATTTACTGGGGGAAATAACGCATAGTAAACATGAATATTTTTTATTTGATTATCGTTTTGAAATGTTCGTACTTAAAAACAATACTTTCATACCACGCACACGTGGTGTTGAATCAAACTGAACATTTGAATGCACATTTACATGTCTGGCTGTAGCTGAGTGCACGAAGATGCTTGCCACAATTTGCTAATTTCCAGAGCGTCAGGGTTCAAATCCCATTACAGACAGCATGGAATTTAAATAATTTTTTTTTTAACTTAATTATGAAAAAGCATCCGTTAAGTGCAAAGCGCTTCATTTTAATATTGGCGTATTTCAATTGAATATTTCTATACTAAATACTAAAATTTGTATACTTAAATTATTACGAGTTGGGTTGGTGCTTTTTCATATGCGATTTTTTTTTTAAATGTAGCACGTTTTGCATAAGCAATAGTTGATGATTAATATAAGTATGTACCTAAATACGTTAAAATGACATGCACAGAGTTTTACAATTATAGCAAAAGCCAGAAGTTTTGAAACAAGCTCACAGCAACGAAACAAATTACTGATATTTTAATGTTACCTTGTATTTATTTTTTTTTTTTTTCGTGAAACCTAGATTACTTATAAGTACCGTGCCGTACAAAATTATTGGCTCGGAGACACTTTCATCTGATCACAATTTCTAATCAGATCTTTTAGAAAAATGTTTAAAATGTAGCTTTTGAGCCAATTAGTAAAGTGCAAGTCTGAAGTTACCAGAAAATTTCGTTGATTTTTTGCAATTATTTATTTTTTGCTGACAGTGTCTTCCACATACAAAAAAATGTCGAACATAGTTTGTATGGAAGAAACTCTCAGTAAAAACAATACCAAATATATTGCCTCGTTCAAAGCCATGAGCAAAATCGTGAATACATGGTTTTCCGCAAAACAAGCGGATCTTAGTAATTTTGATAAAAATCTTAACGAACTCCGCACAGCTTTGAAAAGTACTGGAATTTCTCAAACTGTCAAAATCCATTTTATCCTTAAACATTTAAAGCAATCTATTTCATTCTTGAATAACGATGGTTTAGGATTATGGTCCGAGCAGGCCGGGAAGTCAGTTCATAGGGAATTCATTAAATTCTGGGATAGATTCAAAATAAATATGATTGATAAACCAACTTTTGTGAGTCGCCTGAAGAAAACTGTAATGACATTTTCATTCCAGCATATATAAAAACTTAACTAAATAATAAAATATTTAAATACTAAAATGTGTGACTATATTATATGGTAAGCCAACAAAAAAAATAAAAGGAAACAAAAAACAAATATAAAAAAATAAAGCAAGAAAAAAATATAAAAAAATAAAACCAAAAAAAGAACAAAGAGGTGCAAAGTAAGTTGCCTCTACGTGGTGCGCCTTGGAAACGATTGAAACCGGCTAAAAACTTACATAAACTTATATTTTCACATAATATATATACACACATTTACTCACACATACATTGTTGAATATTTAATGCACAAGGATGTTTTTCTCTTTCGCAAAAGTCGGTCCTATCATAACTATGTAAAATGTTGATATCTTTAAAACAGGAGCAGCTAGGATTTCAATTCAAAGGGATTCTTAACCTAAAAATATCAACAAATACAACCCTGCTTTCAGTTTTTGTCGACATTTTTATGCAACCTATCTTTGCTTCCTGCCCACCGTGTGTAAACACCAAAACCGCGAAAATTTGACAACTCAACAAAAGCTTAGAGACGACGATGGGGGGATCTTCTGATAAAGGTAGTGAATTTAATAGCAGTATAAAATTATGAGGTCAAGCTAATTTTTCCTTTATTAATAAATTTATTACTACACAAAAAATACCAACACAATTTTAATATAGAGCATGAAAATTTGGAAACATTTAGTGAGTTGTTCGGAATGTAAATGATAATATGGAATATGTTGTTGTGTAAATTATAAAATTACAGCATTCATTGATTTTGTTTAAATGTAGTTATATAATAAACGTTTATCCATGCATATGAAATCCTTTCCGGTGCGCTTGCATTATTTTGAGATTCTTTTGACATTCTGTGATTATTGATCTAACGACAAAAGAACGGTTGACCAAGTGCAGTGTTCTTTTCGTTACGCATCTCTTCGAAAAAACGGTTAATGTCAGCCTCAGTAACGACTTTTTTGCTAACAGCAAACGTTTGTAAATACTCTTTCAATTTATCTTTCATGTGGTTGTACTCGGTTATAGCATCTATTTGTTGTACTCGACCAATGGAGGCCAGTGCACGTATACCTTGCTCATATGTAGTCTCAGTAGCTCCACGTTGTTTGCCACGCTCTTCGTAAGATTTTGCTGAGTCTTCTATATCCAGCAAAAACTCTACCTTTTCCGATTTATAGAGAGTCAAACACTGAGAACATTGACACAATGCTGTACGCCAGTCATTACCCCAAAATGTAGCACCTGAAAATATAAAAGGTGTTAGTTAAATAGGAATTATTCTATAAGCAATAATAAAATTAACTAAACTTTGTTATTTTTTGAGAGCTGCTAAAGACCGTATTAGCCGGTCTTTACATGAGGCGATTTTATAGGCAACTTTTTGTTGAAAGCAACAATCGCCTGGTGCTAACGGTCTTTCACCTAATAGCGTTCAACAAATTTGTTGGACTGCCAATTTTTGATTCTCCTAATAGCCTTCAAAATCGCCTCATGTAAACACCGTATTACTTTGCTATTTCCGCCCAATTTTTGAGCTCAACAGAATTTAACCTTCCTGCACACAGGTGATTTGTGTCCCAGGCCTGGTTCCTTTTCATTAATTCTATAGGGTGCGTCTTTGAAGTTATTGAAAATATCTCTAGTTTAAATAGACAATATTCCACTTAATTTATTAAAAAAAGGATATATATATTTATTTCAAACCACAGTAGTAATTCTTATTCTAGTCCTTTAAAATGATATATTTAAAATGGGACTCATAAGAGATTTGGGCGCCCAAAACTATTATTGTTAAAATTTTAACTCAAAAAATTTTGAAAATTCGTCTTAGGCACACTTAGGCTCCGGGCCCATTGTGATGCCTCATGTGGGGTCAGAAGTTCCCAATCCCTCCTAAAACCAATTTGAGCTTTGCAGGAATTTTAGAAGACCCTTGATTTTATCGTTTATATCCTCAATGGTAAGTTTGGCGCCAGTTCATCGGCCTTCAATGTCGCAGTGCCCTGGAACCCATATCATCTTCGGGCGAAATAACTCATCCATCTCGTTAAGAGATGTGCGGCATTTCATGGCTACCATGGAGGTTGTCCACTGGCTGTCAGTGAAGATGTAGATATCAGCTTGGGATATCATATCACATTTTACCAGTTTTGTGGCTCGGTCGATTGCCATCAATTTCGCCTGAAAGACGCTACTGTGGTCCGGAAGACGAATGCTAAGGGAGATTCCCAGGTGTTCGGAGTATACACCCCACCAACCCTTCTCTCGAGCTTTAAACCATCTATGTATACATGGATGGACTCGCCACACCTTGGAGTGTCTCGTTTCCACTCTTCCCTTGAAGGTAGGAGGGTTATAAATGCTGTAGTGGGAGCAGGGTTCGAAAGGGCGTAGCCCACCAATCCGTGAAGCTCCGAAAACTACTTATTTAGACTATTCATAAGAATATCCGCAACGCTTGCAACTTGTTTGGCATGTAGATCTACCGAAAGAAAGCTCAGTGGGACACCAGTTATGAGTGTGGGCGCAAGCCTTTGGACCCTATCCATTTTTGAAGTCTACCCCTTTCCCAAGGGTGTCCCACCATACCAGTATGCCGTGATAGAGAATTGGCATAACTACCGCTGTGTATAGCCAGTGTATTATTTTGGGTTCCATCCCCCATCTTTTTCCTATTGACCTGCTGCAAGAATATAGTGCTACTGTTGCTTTGCGCACTCTATCTGCAATATTGGGCCACCATTTTAGTTTCCTATCTAGTATGAGACCTAGATATTTGATATCTTCCTCTACTTCAAGGGTTGTTCCCTCTAGAGTTATAGCATCAAGGTCGGGTATCTTGCGCTTCCTAGTGAAGAGCAGTAAGTCCGTATTTTCAGGATTTATTCTCAGTCCTCGCCTGTTGCACCATAGGGATAGTTTGTTTAAGATATCTTTGAATTAGGATCGGACAATGTTGGGGGTTTTTTTTTCAAGATAGCTATTAAAATATCGTCGGTGTATGCAATTGTTTTCCCACCAGTATCTTCAAGTTCTTGAAGGAGGCTATGTTCCACAGAAGCGGTGAGATTACTCCCCCTGGGGCGTTTCCCTTTACTGGGAATCTCTTTATTTGCGATTCATCCAACCCTGCGCTTATCTCCAGTCCGGTTAGCATTCGTTCTATAAACGAGGTTATTGAGTGGCTTACTCCCAAATTTACCAGCGATGAGATAATCTCCCCAGGAGATACGTTGTTGAAAGCTCACTCGATGTCCAATAAGGCAGCGAGGGTGTATTCTTTACAATATAGTGATCTTTCAATTGCTTGCACTAGGGAGTGGAGTGCCGTTTCAACTGATCTTCCCTTATTGTAGGCATGCTGGGCAGTGTTGCCACTTGAAACATTTTTAGGTACCAAAACGCCTACCAAATCAGTTTCCGAATTACCAAAATTTTTCATCATTAAAACGAGATTTCACGAGTTTGCGGGGGTTTTAGCTACACAAATTAGCAGTAAAAATTAGAACTACACATAATATTGTTTACAGTATTGGTTAATTATTCACACCAATCTTTAAGATTAAACAAAATAAATTCGGGCCTTTAAATAACATAATTAAGTTACTGTATAAAAAACTGCTGTAAAATATGTTAATATCTTTGAGATTGATTCAATTCATATCAAAAAATCTTTTTTTGTGTGTGAAAAAAACAAAAGCATTTCAATAAAAAAATTTCCAAATTTGATTCAATTTGCATGCACTCACCCTGTTTACCAATACACTCACACTTTGCAAATTGCCTATCACCAATTTTTCTTTCAAAACGATAGGTAATTTCTTGTTAATTTCAACAGCTAACACTGGTCTACAAATTTCAACTTTTTTTCTGCGAATAAGACGGGACCTGGTGTTTCTGAACGGATTTTTCGTGCTGAACACGAATCCGGGGTCAAAAATGTCCCATCACGTCACGTTTTCGAGAAAAAAGGGGTTGAAACCCCTAAAAACAGCGTTTTTGGCCATTTTCGAAAAATTATAGAGCTGAACCCTGACGTGGTACAAATTTTGCATATATCAGAAATTAAAGGCTAAACCGTGCCCTTTCGAATGAGCCCTATGCCGAATTGATCGCGTGCACCCTTAAAGCAGGGGGTGTATTTGTGTTTAGGGGTGCAGGAAAAATTGATCACAGAAAGAATTTAATCTTAAACGATCATAGAAAATTAATAATGCCAAGGTTTTAACTATATTAAAAGTCGCTGATTACGAATCTGCAGTTAGATTTTAAAAATTTAAGATGACGGGTCGAATATGGTGGATATAAAAATTGGACTCCTAGACACAAATACACCCCCTGATCTAAGGGTGCATGCGATTAATTCGGCATAGGGCTCATTCGAAAGGGCACGATTTAGCCTTTAATTTCTGACATATACAAAGTTTGTAGCACGTCAGGGTTCAGCTCTACAATTTTTCAAAAATGGCCAAAAACGCTGTTTTTAGGGGTTTCAACCCCTTTTTTCTCGAAAACGTGACGTGATGGGAAGTTTTGGACCCCAGATTCGTGTTCAGCACGAAAAATCCGTTCGGAAACACCAGGTCCCGTCTTATTCGCAAAACCCTTGTAGACCAGTGTAATCGGTCATAGCTTTAGGAAGTGAGTTTTTGTTTGCAGAAAATTGTTTGCTTAATAAAATAAATAAAAATATAGAGAAATCTTATACGTGTAAGCAGTGTTTTGAACGTGTAAACTTAAATTAAGCGAACAAATTTTAATGTTCAATTTGGTTGTATTTTCAAAACATTTTTGCCTACCAAAAGCTTCATCAAACCAACCAAGCTACCAACGCGGAATGAAGCTACCAATTTTGGTCCAATTGGACCAAAACGGAAACGCTGATGCTGGGCTGCCGAAAGTTTGCTGCCCACCTTGTCTCTAATATGTCCATCTATTAGTCGCTCTAAAGATTTGAGCAAGAAGGACTAATCGGCCTAAAGTCTTTTGGTCCCGTGTGTGTTGTTTTTCCTTCTTTAGAAATGAAAACTATTCTTATTCCTCCCATTTGTGGGGTATTTAATTAAGTCGTAACACTGCCTGAAAAACGGGTACGAGTATGGGTGCAATCCTTTCTGCTGTATGCTGTAGGTCGGCGGGAATGATTCCGTCTGGTCCCGGAGACTTATACGGTTGGCGACTGTTAATGGCCCGTTTTATGTTCTCCGCAGTAATAAGGTTCGCTGGGAGGTCATCGTTATTGCCTGTTGTCCACAAAAGTTTGACATCGATAAACTCCGATCCCCGAAACACTAGTCTTTTCAAACCGTCTGAAACCCTTTATTTACATACTAGGGATATTGCGAATGTGGAATTTTAGACATCCGCGGATGCGAATTCGGATACGGATGTCTAAAAGCTAACATCCGCGGATGCGAATGCGGATGTGAAGTATTTTTAAGAAATAATTTAGGTAAGTAAACTTAATATAATAGATTGGTGCCAACACATATCGTCACTAGACACGAATATAGGCGCGCTAGAGTTTTGACGGCGAAAAAAGGCGGGGAAACAATTTTACGAAAAAAGAGGCATAAGAAAAACTTCGGCGAAGAAAAACATAGATTTATATCTGACCAAGAACTGTCACTTGAGCATCATTCCCAAAAAACGGTGACAGGTAATAAGGTCAATGGAAATAATGTCAATTGACTTTATTTCCCACCCTGGTGCGAAATAAAGTCAATTGACATTATTACCTTTTCAAAAGCGAAATAAAGTCAACAAAAATTTGGAAATAAAGTCATTGACGCTATTTCCTCATTCAAATGGAAATAGCGTCAACAATGCTTAAAGTATGTCGATTCATAGAAAAAAATGTTGTTCTTACAATAAACATTGCCCCGTAAGTGTTGTTTTTTAATAGAAGAAAAAGGCTTTTACCAAATCCTCAATGTTGTGATATTAATCCACACACAATCATGAACTACCACCAAGTGATTCTATTAAAAAAAAATTTTAATTACGAATATGTAAAAACACGATGCGAAAAACTAAACGCCTGCGCACAGCTGGAATATGAGAAATATTTGAAGAAAGAGTGGAGAAATGATCCATAACTTGCAAAACATTTTTCGTTTCTACAAAAATAAAGCGAACACTATTAAATTGAAGAATCAGTACATGTCCAAAAACCCCGGAGGAGCACTGAAAGAATTCTGTGTTTTAAACTAGCATATTTTGAACGAATTCGGAATGTCTAA